ACCATGTCCCCATTTTGTCCAGCTCCTAGGTAGGGAGCAAAGTCTGTCAGGGAAGCCACAGTTCAGGGAGATAGAGGCGGGACTCTGTGCTGCTTGCCAGGATGCCATGCTCAGTCCCTACCCAGAACCCAAGGCGGGGGCCAAACTTTTGGTTGGTGATTGCGGAATGGCTGTTTAAATCATCTTCTCCTGATGCCACCAGTCCCAGCCCACACAGGGTCCAGATGACCTTGCCCTATTGTCTGGACAAAGGATCATGGGAGTATGACATATATCCCAACTCTTGATGTTGATCAAAAATTATCTAGTGCTATATAGTAGATGCTTGACAAGTGTTTGTTGCATGAAGTATGAAAGAATGACGTACCCAGCATCGCTCGGGACATTCATTCATTATTATTAAATAAAGAAAATCCAGCAGCTTTCGCTGAGGCAGGCTGCACAGAATTGTCCATCTGAGAAGCAGCTAGAGTATTACATCAACATCTGGAATTTGGAGCCCATGAACTTAGGACTTTGTTTTCTCTTTCCTTAGCAGCTTCCTTCACGTGACAGGTCCCTCCCTGTCTGTAGACACACTGATCGCTCATTGAGTACTGATGTCAGCTGCCCTGGAAAGTGACTTCCTGTTTCACTGAGTCCTATCCCACCCCTTGGCCCTTTTTTAGTTCATTGTGCCTATATGAGGGAAGAGTCTATTTTAATTAGACCATCACAAATTTATACTCCAAATCTGCAGTAAATAGCTATGGCTGTGTGTAGGCAGCACAAGACCTGGGTAGAAAGATGTGGATGTACCATAAACTGGCTACTGCCTATGTTACCCAAGTTAATCTTCAGAAGCAACCCCATTATACAGATGAGTAGACAAACCCAGAGAGGGACAGTGGTTAGCCCAAAGTCACACAGCTAGTAGTTGTCAGAGCTGAGATTCAAAGCCAGGGCTGACAAAACTCCACTGTGCAGCAGGCCTCCTGAGGTCTCAGGTCTTCTCAGTAAGGGCATCCGCACCCAGGGAGGGCAGGGAAGATAGAAACCTTAATTACTTTGTTTCCTTGTTGCCGGTCTCTCAATGGCACACTGTTAGGAATTAGCCAACTTTGTGGTCCTAGAATAGCTAGCAGTGCCAGGGGGAGCCCAGGTTCAGATCCTCCTTGGTGGGACTGGGAGCCTGGCTCAGGGTCCCGGCCTCTTTGACCTTCAAGAGCAGCACAGACCTTCTGTCCTGGACACCAGCCCAGGGACTTGCCCTCCCGGGACAGAGTCTGGAAATGGTTCCCCACACGGGCTCCAGCAGGTTACAAAAGCCACCGTTCCTTTTTATCTCCTTTGAGGCAATGCTTGCATCACATATTTTTCCCTTTTTGTTCTTTTTAAAATTACAGAAGTTCTGCACATTCATTTTAAAGATTTGTTAAGTATATAGAAAAAGCTTTTTCCCGTTGGCTATAAAGAATGTCAGTGTAACAGCTGGCAAATCTGAATCAGATCTATAAATTAGAAATAGCCTTGTATCAATGTTAATTTTCTGTTTTTGAGAACTATACGGTGGTTATGAGAAAGAATATCATTTTTTTAGGAAAAACGTATAGAAATATTAGGAGGTAAAGGAACAGTCTTCTGTAATTTAGTCTCAAGATTTCAAAAAAAATAGAATCATAGAACAAATGTGTACTGCATTTATGGAATCTGGGTGAATGATATGCAAGACTTCCTTATACGGTTTTTTTTTTTTAATTTTTCTGTAAACCTGAAATTATTTCCAAAATGAAGATTTTATATATGTGTGTGTGTATGTGTATGTATTTGTGGGCAGCAGTGAAAACTCCATTTTGCCAAAGCATAATTCAGTTGCTTATCTAGAGAATTCAGTTTGAAAGTAGTCACTAACCTTTAACAATAACGTGACTTATGTTAAATGAATTGAATTTATTCAAAGTGAAATCTGATAGTCCTGCTCCCTCCCATGGGCAAAACACACACACACACACACACACACACACTTATACCCTTTGTAGCATGTACCCAGAGATGCCCCCTACCCCTCAGTCTGTAGAACACAGTAGACTCCAGTAGAATGCCCCTTAAGATATCTGTGGGTCCCAACTACTCTTGTGTACTTAAGGACACTGAGACCTGAGAGCTAGATGGGCCTCAAACTTAGTAGCTGCTTAGTAGCAAGGAGGAGAGTTCGTTCAACCAAAGAGTTCATTTACACCGCTGTTCCTTTCCGCAAAAGGTCCAGTGTCTTTAAAAATCAGGATTAGGACCCATGGCTTTTGGTTATTAATCTAAAGACCTTTCCACTATATTCTAGCTCCCCTGGTTTGCTTATTGATTTATAAGGGTTCACACAAAAGATAAATTAAGAGTTTACTCATGATTTTTGAAAAGGATCCATAGGCAGGGTTCCTTTAAATAGTAAATTTCCTCATAAAGCTTTCGAGCTTTTTTCTTTTCTTTTCTTTGTGTGTGTGGGGTGGGGAGAGTCAATTTACATGCAATTTTTCAAAGCAAATCTTCTCTTAAGGCTCCCGTTTTACCTAGCAGTTGCAGGTATTATGTTAAGACGCCCCATCTGATGGGCAAGTGAAACTTGATTCAGTTCAACAAGCATTTATAAATCACCTATGGTTTACCAGGTGCAAACTCCAGAGAACCCAAAGATGCATTTGCAGCTCTGCCTGATCTCAGGGAGTACAGTGTCTAACATGAGGGACTTAGGAAGGCAAGCAAGATCCATTAGAGGACCGAACAGCAGGTGCTAGACCCTGTGGTACAGCTAAGTGTAGATGCTATGAACACTGAGAAAAGGAGCCAATTTGTCTGATGGTAGGAGTGAAGATGGGGTGAAAAGAAAAAGAGGGCATCAGTGTGAAGGTGTGGCTGAGCAGGACCTTAATTTCAGTGCTACTCAATAAAGCAGGTTTATCAATAAAGTAAACTAGTTGATAAAGTGGCCATACCAGCTCCTGGAAAGTCCCACCAAAAATCAGTAGTGGGAATAGATCCGGACCACCAATTTTACACGTGTTCCCATAATTAAGTCTATGTCAGAAGAATTCGACTCTCTCTCTCGATTGATGGGGACACAGATACATAAACATGTATATATACACATATGCGTGTATACATACATGTAGATCACATATCCATGCAATGTTTCTTTCTTTTAGAAAATCCTTTACTCAACAAAGAAAGCCACGTGCTTTCCCTCCTAGTTTTTCCTTTTTTAAGTTAATTAAACAGGACTAACTAGCATTTATTTTGCTATTATTATGTGCTAGGCCCTGGACAAGCCCTCCTTTGTATACTCCCATTTGTTGCTCCCACCCTATAAGACATTGACTATTATCATTTCCATTTTACAAAAAAAAAAAAAAAAAGGGGGGGATCCAGAGAGGTTAAGCAAATTGCTAGAGGTCACACAGCAAGGAAGAACCAGAGACAGAATTTTAACCCAGCCCTGTCTGGCTGCAGGATGGGACTTTAGAGGATGGGATGTGAAGGAGGGGAGCCTATGAAACCCTAGGAGGAGGTGTGAATACTGAAAAGGCAGCCTGTCCTCACTGCTGGCTGCAGCTCATACCGAAGGCAATGTCCTGAAGTTGGGTCTAGTGAAAGAATGGGGATCCCACTACTATATGAACCAGACCCCTGAGGCTCCGTGTCTGAATTTCTCCAGAGCAACTGCTCTCTGGCAGCTGGCTCCCTTGCGAATCTCCTGCATCCTCATTTGGCTTGACATTATCAAAATCCGTTTAGGTTTCAGCAGTAGATTAGCGGGCTCGTGGGTGCTGATTTCCTGCTTCTTTTTCATATCCTGTCATTAACCCAGCAACCCCTGAAAGCCCAACAGACATGAAGGAAAGCCCGTCTTATTAAGTTTAAAGATGAATAATTTCTTTAAAATTCTTTTTTTATTTTAAATGAATTCTCTAACTTGTTGCCACACCGTGATAGCTGGGGTTACTTTTGGTCTCTAAATTATTCTTCACCAGGGGTCTTTTCTATTACACCCCTTCCTTACCAGGTCCTTATATTATATCCCTTCCCCCAAAAGGCCTTAATGTGGGGGGAGGGGGAAGTCTGCCAACAGCAGCATTTTAAAGTACAAATTAGTTTTCAAATTATAATAATTAGAGCTTCTGATTAATGGGTGATAACAAGTGTTTCCCCCGGACATGTCATTATTTCAGCAAAATAAACAACATTCTGTTTAGGCTGAGAGTCTTATAGATAATAATAATAATGATAGCTAATTTTTATTTAGGACTTATGTTGTACCTAAAATTATATTAAGAGCTTTGCATGGATTAGCTCATTAAATCCTCATAACAACCCTGTGAAATAAATAATAGTGTCCCAACGGTACAGTCGTGGGGACTAAGGCACAGAAAGCTGAGACACTTGGCAAGTGCCAAAGCCGGGATTTGAACCAGGGCAACCTCAGCCCAGAATCTCTGCTCTTCCATACTGTGTAGTATTCTTCCCCTTATAAAGAAGTATTCCATGTCCATTACCCACATAACATGTTTGAGGAGCAAACCATCTAGTTGCATTCTAAAGGTCTGACCCATTCAGGACTTACTCGTTTCTTCTTAACGATATTATGTGATGAAAGCTTCCACACTTCAATTAGAAGCCCGTGCCCTGGTTTTATTATTCTCGAGGTTAAGAGTTTCTTTTTAAAGTCCAAACCATTGTTTCTCCTGCTTTATTTTAAGCCCTTGTTGACTTTTTATTTGATCTGCTATTGAGCTAAATAAAAATGAATCATCCCTTCTCTTATTTAAAAAAAAAAAAAAAAAAAAAAGGAAGGAAAAAAAAAAAAAACACTTCATACCCTCAAGTCATCAAGTCATCCTGTGTTTTTTTTTTATATAATTTAGATATGGAAAACCTTCAGAGAGCCAAAATTTTCTCCTCTCCATTTTACAGATGGAGAAAGTGGCACCAAGGTCATTTATGAGTCTTGTCTTAATGCAGGGGCCAGATAGTAACAGACAAGGGCTGCAAAGTCAGACAGCTTCACTAGCCCTTCGTGCCAGCCTTCAGCAATCCCATGACCTCTCCTGACTGTCCAAACCTTTTGCACGGAATTGCAGCCAAATATAGATAAATATTTTCAGAAAAGCCCATCTGTTGCAGAGTGCAGAAGGGAGCTTGATTCTCATCCTATGCCCATCAAGCTAAAGAAGTCTTCCAACCCATGAGGCCATCAGAGTGATCGATTACAAAGGGAAAAGACCCCCAGAACTTCTTTCAAAATTTCCATCTGAACAAATCACAAATGACCATTATAAAGCTAGGCTCCACTTAGGTTCTATTCCCATTTAAGGGATCAGGAAAATAAGACCCCAAGAGATGAACTTGCTTTCTTTGGGCGACGACCAGTAACTCCCAGCTTTTCCTGAATTCTGTGTTTGCAAATAAAAGCACCCTCAGGAGTGCAGAAGGTGCTGCTTCATTGTTAATAAGAAATCCTCTTTAAAAATAGTATTTCTGGGGTGCCTGGGTGGCTCAGTGTGTTAAAGCCTCTGCCTTTGGCTCAGGTTATGATCTCAGGGCCCTGGGATGGAGCCCCGCATCGGGCTCTGTGCTCAGCAGGGAATCTGCTTTCCCCTCTCTCTCTGCCTACCTCTCTGCCTACTTGTGATCTCTCTCTGTCAAATAAATAAATAAAATCTTTTTAAAAAATAGGTATTTCTGCAACTCCTTTTTTTAGAATTCTGAAGGCATCCAATATTTTCTACATAGATGATTTCAAATGCAACAGAGATGCATTGCTGTCACCATGAAAGAAGTCTGATTTCCACATGGTACTTAGATCCCTCCCAAGGAAGGAGTTACCCCCAATATTACGTTAGTCTGAGATCCAGTCCTTATTTTCTATTGTTATTTACTTTGGGCCAATGTTTGTTCACTGTTGCTTCCTTTTTTTTTTCCTTTCGTTTATGAAAGTGTCAGTATATTGGACTTGTTTCTGGCTGGGAAGAATAATTAAAGGCTACAAAAATTAAATTTGGTGCCAAGTTAATATCATTCTCATCTCCCCTGCTGATAATTGTACACTCCAGCACTATTCGAGGTTGTTGGAAGCTTTACATGGACTTCCCAGACTCCAGCTCCTACTGTATTTGATCAGTAAAGAGCAATCACAGAAGTTTAGGAAGCATTGTGCCAGTATTTCACATGCCTCGGGTTAGGAGTTTATACTTAACGAAGAACTTGCCACGAGTTTCATCTGCATTTTTTTTTCAATGCCTGGAATGCAAATAAACAGAAATGTAAAACCAACAAATGTATACTAATGTCACTGACTTGATGTCACTTCCTGTTTTGCAGTGCCCTGGTCATTGAAAAACAGCAGCATAGACAGTGGTGAAGCAGAAGTTGGTCGACGGGTGACCCAAGAAGTACCCCCAGGCGTGTTCTGGAGATCACAGATCCACATCAGTCAACCCCAGTTCTTAAAGTTCAACATCTCCCTTGGGAAAGATGCTCTCTTTGGTGTTTACATAAGAAGGGGACTTCCACCATCTCATGCCCAGGTATGATCACGCTCGATGCAACTATGAGTTTAAAGAAATTCCTACTCCCTACCTACTAGGATGGCTATAATTTGAAAGTTGGACAATAACAAGTGTTGGCAGGAATGTGGAAAATTGAAACATTGGTCTATTGCTGGTGAGAACGTAAAACAGTGCAGCTGCTGTGGAAAAGAGTTTGACAGTTCTTCAGAAAGGCACACCTAGAATCACCATGGGACCAGCAATTCTACTTCTAGATATATATATACACAGAGAACTGAAAATGTTCTTTCTCATAAAAACATATACATGAGTGTTTGGAGCAACATTATTCCTAATAGCCAAAAAGTGGAAATAACCCAAATGTCCATGAACTGATAAATGGATAAACAAAATGTGACCTATGCATATAGTGAAATATCATTCAACTATAAAAAGGAATGAAGTGTTGTTACCTACTAAAACATGGATGAATCTTGAAAGTATGGTACTAGATGCAAAAGGCCACCTACTGTATGATTCCATTTAGCGTCCAGAATAGGCAAACCCACAGAGACAGCAAGGAGATGAGGGATTGCCAGGGAGCAGGGAGGAGGGAATTGGCACTGACTGCTGGTAGTTATGGGATTTCTTTTAAGGGTGATGTAAATGCTCAGGAATTAGACAGTCATGACGATTATACAACACAGTGAATATATTTAAAAAATTACTGAATTATAAATTGGATAATTTATGTTGTATAAATGGTATCTCAAAAAAAAAAATGGCATTCTACCTGGTGAAGTCAGCTTCGCCAGCCTGGAGATTAATCCTTGGGCATTTTCATTTCAGGTATTCTAGCTATTGGATTAATTTGTTAAAATATCAGTAGGAGAGGGGCGCCTGGGTGGCTCAGTGGGTTAAAGCCTCTGCCTTCGGCTCAGGTCAGGATCCCGGGGTCCTGGGATCGAGCCCCGCATCAGGCTCTCTGCTTGGCGGGGAGCCTGCTTCCTCCTCTCTCTCTGCCTGCCTCTCTGCCTACTTGTGATCTTTGTCTGTCAAATAAATAAATAAAAATCTTTAAAAAAATATATATCAGTAGGAGATATCCCAGTATATCTAAGAAGAGTTGTGTAACCAAAATTCAGCCATTTCTCTGTGATTTCTCCTCCTTCCTCTGCTGAGTTCCTTGGGATATCCTCGGCACTGTGAAAGTGATATTATCCCCAGTGTTGGGAATGAAGAGATTGGATTAGATTATGGATTTCTTTGTTTTTCCTCTCATCCATCCTTTAATTTGTCCTGGTAGCGATTTTATTATATACACACCATTGGGGATAAATTAACACCCACCTAGCCTGGTTTTCTTTTCCAATAAGAATTGTATATCCCGAGAAAAACCAAGTAGGGTTTTCCTGCCTCATTGGCTTTCAAATCCAGCAAGTACATAAAGAAGTACATTAGGAAAATACCCTGGTGGAAGGAAAACTTCCTTGACTACTCATTATATCCAGTCAAAGCTGACTTTAAAATGTGCTGGAAAGGTATTCATCTAGAAAATTGAATTGAAAGAATTGAAAGCTCTAAACCCATTGGCAAATGCAAAGGAGTCAGGCCACCATTTCTTTGTCTTTGGCTTGTGGCAGACATTGCTAATCGATGGCTGCACTTTTTCCTCAGTGAGCTCAGCGCACAGGTACCTCCAACAGAACCTTCATGGCAGCAGCCACTACCAACCAGTAGTTGGCTCTCAAAATGAAACTTCTTTGCAATTCCAGCTTAATGACCTGAAAGTATCGAAGAATCAATATAAAGGACTAGAGGAGGGCTGTGGGGCTCTTTGCCTTATTTTCTGTTTGTTTTGTTTTGTTTTGTTTTGTTTTGTTTTACCATACACAGCCCAGGCTATAGGGACCAATATGTGAAGTGGTAATCAATAAATCATCCATCCATCCATTCATCCATCCAGAACAATATTCATTGGTCCAGACACCAATTATTCGGAGATGAGTTAACATAGCCCCCAACCAAGCAGAACTCCTGATACAAAAATTGCATCTGCTCCTCAAAGAGATTTCGTATCCAGAGAAAGAGAGGAAGTCAGGTGAGAGGAGTCCCTGTGGTATTTCTGTGACTTCTGGCCAGGCAGCAGGGTGCTGCTCTGGGAAGTTATGCAAATTGTGATGTGGTGTCCTTGACCTTCAAGCTCCACTGATTCTACTACAGTACAATGAAGGACTTGCAGTGGTGAAATCTGCTTATTGGCCTTATTTAAGGAAATATGAACATGCCTCTGGGCACAGCTGAGAATAACTTTTCTCTCAGCCGGTTGGATGCAAGGAGCTTTGCTGGAGAAAAATGCTTTTTCCCGACACTTTTCCAAAGCACGGCTAACCCCCTTCCCTTGCATGCTCTGAACAACCAGTATCGTGGAAAAGCAAATGATCATGGCAAGTCAAGTAGGTAACTCCCTGTAACTGAGTGATAGTGGACAGCAGCAGAAACATACTCTACCCAGTTTCCCTGCTGTTCTGACATTGCAGGACTCAAACCCTCAATGACAATGTCTTTTCTTCTTTTGTGGCTACACCACACTGTCCATCTCCTGCCAGGCTAGTGATTGTTCTAGCGGTCGTCCTCTCAAAATAGCTCCACTCCAGGGACAGCCTCATCACAGTTCAAGGGAAGGGAAATGAATAGGCATGGGCTGATGTACGCTGAGGGTTTCAGTCCAGCTGCCAATTTGGGAGTTTAGCGTGCACTAGAGGGTCAAGTAAGTGAGACACTGTGCAGATGCTTAAAAATGGACAAGACAGGTACAATATAGGGGTGCTTCTTAAAAAAGAAAAAGAGAAAAAACTGACTCCCTACACATTTTCACATTCAGTCACTGTCATTACATACATTCATGTCCATTTGATGAGCTACATTTCCTCAAGGAGACGGTGCTTAGCTCCTTGCAGAGACAGGTGACTAACTCACATCTCGTACTGTTATAGAATTTCTCATTTCTATTGGCATATCCTATCAAGGAACATAAGTTCTAGGGGATAGGCTGCCTAGCCAAGGTGACTCATTTGAGCTGGAAAGAGAGAAAGAGAAAGAGATGGGGAGGGGGGGATGGTTATGAAATTCTATTGGCTGTGTTGCATGAAATAGCTATGCTTAAATTTTATTGAGTATCATGCTTTGACCAAGAGCCTACAAGTTTTAGTATCCTTGTCCAAGGATATTAAATACAGAGGAGAATCCTTTCTTACCTGCTTAAATTTCTCAAGAATCAGAGTGAGTCCCAGTAGACTTTTTGAATGTAGTTTTTTATAGCAATACAGAGGCAATGGGGCATGGGGGAGAAAGTACGGGAATTGTAGGATGGAGGCCCTGCTGCATATTAACCAGGAGACCTCAGACTTAGCCCTTAACATCTTTTAGCCTCAGTTTGTCTACCTGTGTTACCGGGCTCTCAATGCTGCTGTAATCACGCCAACACATCAGATGTAAAATGGGAAAACACTTTGTCCACTAAAGCATAATATAAAGATAGCATATGCAAGTGTTTCATGGTACTAAGAAATTCCGTGTGGCCCTAGCAAATACTGTATATAGATGAGCAATTATGTAAATATAGCTTCTTAAACTAAAATTAATTTTCTAGTGTGTTTGCCTTCTTATGGAAGAACAAATTGTATTTTCATTGTAGAAAAAAATTTCAAGACAGAGAAACCAAAGGAAGCAAAACCTGCCACAATTGTAACCCCTTTTAGTAAATGTTTACATATATTTTTGCTTTAATAAAATCTATCAGTTTGCAAGGGGGCAGGGGAGGGGGACTAAGAATCTAAGTGGCTTAAAATAACAAAACCTATTTCTCATTTACCAGGGGTGATTTTGCCCCCAGCACAGATGCTTCTAGCAATGTTCGGGAATATTTTTGCTTGTCACATGGGGACAGAATTGCTTCTAGTGACTAGTGGGTCAAGCCTAGGGACCCTTCTAAACATGCATAGGACAGCTTCCACGACAGAGAATTACCCCTCCCAGAATGTCAATAGTGCTGAAATTGGGAAACCCCACTTCACACGTTCGCATCGATTGAAGAAGATTGGCGCATTGTCAGCCTCGTTCAAGGACACAGACCTACAGGACCTTCCCTGTCAGGCAGATACTCATTCCCTGTAGCAAGGGAAGGAGAAGATGGTGAATTCTGGACCAACCCCTGAATACTTCTGCTTGGAAGTGACGCATGTCTTTTAAGCCCTTGTCCGATGGACCAAAGAAAGTCCTATCCTAACTTCAGTGGAGCAGGAAATACAATCTTATGTTGACCCTGAGATGTGGAGCACCAGATAAATCAACGAGAAGCCCTACTGACTTAATGATAAAATGTGGAGATACCTGTCCTTGTGGCTAGTATTTGTGTACACCCTTAATTCTTTCCTGAGAGTCAACCCTTGAGGACTTAGTATGAATTACCAAATTATCCCTTTGGAAGTTTCCATCACTTACGCACCCTATGTTCCTAACTACCAGCCCAGGGCATAGGTGCCCATTTTATTACCTGAATCCTTACATACACTGAGTGTTTTCCTTGTTTCTTCTTTGTCCACTTGAAAGGTAGTTATTATATTGGCTTTTAAATGCAGCATTTTGACACCCTGTATGGCATTTTTTAAGACCTAGAAAAAAACAGAACAAAGCCAACATAAGCCAATCTCAGCGACCCAGTTCGAATTCTTAGCAAGGGTGGTGTGTGAGGAAGCCTAGCGCATCTTGCCACATATTTGAAATCGGACAAACTGGATCAGATTTGCTCAACCCCCATTCTAGAAAGGAAACCGACCAGACTTGAATAATAATAATAATCTGACCTGGCTATGGTGCCGGGCATCAAAGGAGATTTCAGTGACTTGCTGCTGCAAGTCAGGGTCTTGGGGGGTTAAGGCAGTGAGCAAGCGCGCTTGACAGTTCATCACCGATTGCTACTGATATGTCAAGCCAAGTAAAATCCTTTGTGAGAACCAGTCAATAATCAGCAAATGAGG